TCCTGGTTCTCATGTTTGGATGAGGTCGTACACGGGAAGCAGTGAGCATGGTCCTCCCAGAGGTCAGCCTTCGTGTTAGATTTTGGATCTGCAACTCTGCGGGGAGCGGGGAAGTGGGCGACTCCACCTCACAGGGCTGGTCCACGAGGAGCGGGAATAACCCCACCCATGGGACCGCGGTGAGGATGTTCTGGTGGCACCTGGTAGGGCTCCGTGCAGGAGGGACTCAGCCTGGGCAGTGAGCCCAGAGGGCATGGCAGGAGCCACCTCCCAGGGCCCTGTAGGGGGACTTCTCAGCGTGTCCTCACTTCTGCGCCCCCTCCTATATCATTCCTCTCAGCCAGCCTTCAGGAATCCTCTCCTGGGGCACAGTCGTTCTCCCTGACCGGGAGGTTATCCTGTTCTTCCATCCAGGTCCACAAGCTTTTCCTCTCTGTGCAAATCTGGCCTCAGCACTCCTGCTGGACCCCCTCCTTGAAGTCAGCAGACCTTTTCCAGGGCCTCGAGTCCAGGGCCTTCTAGTGGGCAGAGGAGATCTGAATATCCAGCCAGCTCTAGGGGTGCCTACCACCTTCCTCCCTCCACCGGTGGCCTCCCTGCGGCAGCCAGGTTGGGCCAGCCCCAAAGGAGTCAGCAGCATGGCTCCAGGAAGCCTGTGCAGCCAGAGATGTGAGCCTGAACTCCCTGGATCAATGGGGGGAAGGCTGGCAGCCAGAGGCCTGCGGAGGCATCCGAACCTGGGTCTCAGATTGCCTTGGGCAGGGCTTCCAACCCTCTTCCCAGCCTCCGCCCCCCCGGAACATTTCCTTCCCTGGCCCCCAGGGAGGGGGGCCCTGGCTGCAGGAGTCTTCTTCCCCAGTCTCCGCCCTACTCACCTCCGGACCTCTGAGCCTCGGTTTCCTCCTCTGGATCCTGTGGGTGGAGGACACCCAGCCTGAGAGTCTTTCAGGGCATAGATGGGAAAAGGTTGTAGAGGGCCACCCATAGCCGCACATGTTAACCGTAGATGTTACCCCACCCACCTCCCCCTCCCCAGTTCCCCCATCTCCACGTTGAGGGAGGGAGCAGATAAGCAGATCTACGTGGAGAGCCGTGAGACAGACGCTCAGAGAAAGGAGTTACCAGCCAGAACCATGCAGCAAATAGGTGGTCTAGATGGGATGCCCCTCCCCTTGCCCTTTCTGCAGGGCTTCAGTTCCCCGGGAAAGGGGTCCACGTCCCTGTCTGGAGAAACAAGACTGGGAGCTGTGATTCCCTTCCCCCAGCTTATCCCCTGAACCACTTCATAAAGGAGCCAGGTGGTGTCCCACTTTAGGGCCTTGGGGTATGCTCTAGCTTCTCAAGTGCGACGGGCTTACTTCCCTAGCCCTGTCCAAGCTCCCACTGGCCCCTGTCCCCACTGCTATCCTTCATCTGGTGGCCCTTCTCCAAGATGGCCCCAGGGATCCAGGCTCCTGGTATTCACACCCTCAGTAGCCCCTCCCACACTGAGTCTTTGTCTCCAACAGAATATGACAAAGTAGCAGGGTGTAAGTTCCAGCACGGGTCATCAAGTGTTGCCTTTTCCATCATGGTCTTTTGGCTCACTTGCTATTGGGGAAGCCAGTCACCATTCCTTGAGGATGCTCAAACGACCCACGAAGAAGCTCACGGGAGGAGGGACTGTGGTGCTCACCCCAGGCTGTGAGATGGTGCCTTACGTAACATACAGTAATCATGGGAGAGCCCATCCGCTTTGCCATATTCTGTGGACGAGAAGCTAGTCCTGGCTTCTGCTCACGCTCACAAAGAGGAGGCCACACACAACTGCAAAGCTCTGAGGTTGCCTTAGGGTTTGTCTACAGACGCTATGGGGGGTTTTCTCCTGCCAGAGTCTTGCTGGCTCCAGAACGGGAGACGGTCTCTGCCTCCTGACACTGCAGTTCTGATCTCAGTCCAGCTAAGGCTGGTTTCTCAATAATGAGGCTTTTCTCCCTGGTAAAATAGTACATCTCATTTGTATCATACATAGTCTTTTGATTAACGCAGCTCTGACCTAACTCCTATAGAATAATAACTCGAGTCTGACAACTGAGCTTACTATGTGCCTACTTAGGTAACTGAAGTCATTGTCTTATATAAATATCACAACAACCATATGCGCAGCTATTATTGTCCTTGACTGTGTCTTCTGAGGCTCAGAACATATGCAAAATGCCCAAGGTCATTTAACTAACACCTATTAGGACTGTGCTGTCAACTTGCACTGGCTTAAGCAGTCAGAAAGGGATTATGTTACTGGCTCACTTGACAAAAATGCACAGGATAAGAGCTGGGCTTCAGGCACCACTGGACTGAACCACTGAATTCAGATTCCCCATTGGTGTCACCTAGACCCTGTCTCCCTCCATCTCTCAGTTCTGGTAATTGCATCCATAGGCAGGCTCTCCCTAGTGGTGGCTAAAAATGGCTGTAGCAGCCCTGGGCAAAGACCGGGCTGTCTAGCCACAGGACTGCCTGGATCCTGTCCCCAAGCTGGAACCAGCAAATGTGGGCATATTCTGATGGGGCCATCCTGGGTCATGCTCCCCTATAGGGTGTAAGGGAGGTCAGCCCCATCAATGAGCCACAAAGACCAAGAATGGTGGAGAAACGCGTATTGGAGGTCTGTTACAGGAAGAAGGGGAAGTGGGGCTGGGCCGACAAAGGCAGTGGATTGCCTGTCCTCCAGGTCGTTGATTTGTGTATGGCCTCCTCCTCCCACAAGCACTGCAGACCAGGTTCTGGGCCAAGCCTGGGATGACAGATGCCCTTGAGGGGAGGTCAAGGCACCAAACAGCCTGCAAGTGCTGGGGAAGAAGAGGGTGAGAGTAACTGCCTCCTACTTGCTGTTCGAATTTCACATCTGGCCAGGGGGCCAGAGGATGCTGGGGTGAGGTGGGTGTGATTATACAGCGTCACGCATGGGGTCCTTGCATTGGGTACTCTTGTCAGCATCTTGACTAGTGACAGACACAGATGATAGGATTATCCCAACCAGACCTACCCCCAAATGAATGCAAATAAATCTGGAGGAATCAGAATAAGGTGGACAGATTGCATGAAGTCCATTGTGCTGGGTATGATATTGCAAGTAGCTTTGAAAAGTGACACCACCGGGGGAACTGAGCAGAGAGATCTTTCTGTTATTTCTTTCAACTGCCTGTGAATCTACATTGATCTTAATACAAATTTCCATTAAAGGAGTTTATTTTTGGTGCCAAAGCTGGGCTTCAGGGCTATTCCCCTGTGCTCATGGCTGCCCAGCCTTGCAAGGGGAGCCCCCCTTCCATCACGGCAGAGCCCCTTCACAGTATCTTCAGATTCAGGCTGTGTCTGACCCACCAGGGGCGCTCATCAAAGGTGGGATGAGAGACTAAACAAATGCATGAATGGATGGGAGAATGAAGAGATGCATGAATGAATGCATGAGTGAATCTGAATGCATGCATGAATGGATGTACTCCAGGCAGGATGAAGAAGGCACAAAAGCTTAGGGCAGTAGGGTAACCCTGCTTGGACCTTGGAGCAGGACAGCACCTTGAAAAGGCCACACACATGCCTGGCCTGAGACCTGGGTCCCCTTCAAAGGAACTCTGTCTGCAACTAAAATCAAGGGACTCAGGTTCTCAGCCTGCCATTTCCAGACACCCAGAGGTGAATTCCAAGTCCACAGCAGCACTTCTTACTACCTCATCCCAACCCCACCCCCACACCTCCCAGCCCCAGGCACCCTCCACACTGCCATCCCTGTTAAGTAGGGCCTTGAACCTGGTGGGGTCTGGGAGTGGGGGCTCAGATCCAGATTTCCTCCCAGATCTAGGCCTCTTTCCCCATCCAGGTGAGCAGAGTCAGTGACCTGGGTGGGGGAGGGGGGTGGGGAGGCGGGGAACTCTGTGCAGAGCTGAACAGCCTTAGAGTTCCTACTCTGATGGTGCTTCCTGGCCCCATTAGAAACCCCCTTTCCATCTTCTGGGAAAGCAGTGGAAACCAGGGGCTCACACAGGTGGTCTAGTAAGAGCAGGAGCCTGCACCCCTTCATGCTTTAGGTCCCAAAGTCCCAGAGAGCGGAAAGGCCCTGCAGTTCCCCTCCCTCTGTGCCCCTGTCAGACTGCCCCATCAGGGTGGGGGCCATGCCTGCGCCTCCCCAAAGGTCTTCCACCCCATCCTTCTCCTCTCCCTCCTTCCCTCTCTCCCCACCAGCCTCCCAAATCAGTGCGGGGGAGACGGGGTAAGCTGAGCTGAAGTCCCTCTCAGGCACTTCCCTGAGCTCACCTGAGGGCACCTGGGCCACCTCTCCCCGCAACCCCAGGGCGGGCGAGGCGGCCCCAGGCTGCAGCCCCCCCAAGAAACGGCTATCCTCTGCACTAGGAGGGCAAATCCGAGGCCCCTCCACTCCTTGACTAGAGCAAGACCCTGCTTGCCTTCTTTTAAGAGTTTTTTTCCCAAGGGAATATTTGCTGATCACTGGAACCCCTTTTATAAAAAAAGCCAGGAGGAGGTAGTTCTAGTTAAGAATAGTTCCAGTTAAGGGGGAAGAGCTGGCTGGTTCAACTGCAGGTCAGTGGGCCTGGCCCGCAAGGCCTGCACTGGGATCTGCTCTGCAGCAGTAAAAGCGGTGACTTCTGAAGGGTCCGCCTTCAGGGTCCTGGCTCCCTGCACCGCTGATGCTCACAGGGCGGACTCTGGGGTGGGGGCTGACTGGTCCTCTGGTTTTACAGACAGGCCAGGAGGCGAAGCGACTTGCCCACCAGGAAGGAGTAGGGAACCACCCCTGAAACGAGCCCGGGCACTCAGACGATGGGGGCGGCCTCGGCCTCGGCGGGATCAGAGTCGGGCGTGCATTGATCGCTAGTGTAGACGCAGCCTCTCTGCGTGCCCGCGCCCGGCCGGCTGTCGGGAACTCGGGCCGGCTCCTCGCGCGCTTCCTGGAAACGTGCTCCCGGGCAAGGAGCCGCTCGGTGGCTGCAGCCCGGTGCCGCCTAGCCCGAGGGCTGGGCTGGGCACCGCGGCGCCCGCGGGCTGCCGCCCCCAGGGCCGCCCTGGGCGCTGGTCGGCCTCGGGGGATCCAGCGCGCCGCGGGGCGGGTGGGAGGCGGGAGGCAGCTGGCGCGCGGCCGCGGGCGGGGACCCGCCGGGGAAGCCGTGGGGCGGGATGTCAGCAGCTGAGCGGCGAGCCCGCCTCCCTTCCCGGTAACCTCGCGGCCACCCCGAGGGAGGTGGTGCCGCGCCGGGAGGGGGCGGAGCCGGCCGCCGCCACGCCCCTCCCCCCCAGCCCCGAGGTTGCGGGTCAGCCTGGGCCCCTGGAGGGGCAGGGGGGCGTCTCCCCTGCAGGAAGAGGGCTTTCTCCCTGCTGCTTTCCAGCCAGAACCCCTGGGCACACTTTCAAGCACAGAATATTTATTGGGCACCTACTAAGGGGGAGTCCCTGGGTGCAGCCTACTGGGGTGGCAGGCTGTTTCTTCCCTAAGAAATGTTCCAGAGTTCGTGGATTAATTTACTTGTAAACCATAGGCACCTCATTGCTAGGCGTATATATTATGTACTCACAAAGGTTGCAATTTTCAAAGGATGATAAAAAGAGTAGAAATAGAAAGGCTGTGTTTCTTTCCATAAGTCAGTGGATTGTCTTGCACCCCCTTCCTCCCACCTTCGGAGACCCAAGTTTAGTGACTGCATCTGGGCTGGACCTGAAGCTGGAGAAAACACCCTGACTGTCACCCTTATCCTCCCATTGGATCCATATCATCCTGCCCCTCCAGGTCCAAGGCTCAGCTCTCTTTGGGGGCCCTGGATCCCACTTCAGCAGAGGGTAGCAAATGGCATGCTAATATAATGGGGAGTGCTCTGAAGTCTGGGATCAAATTCATATCTGTTGTTTTCTGGCTCAGTGACCTCTGGCCTCTCTGTGCCACAGGGTCCTCTTCTGTAAACTTGAGGGAGCAGTATCTCCCGCTGCCTAGCAGAATACCTGGGTATGGGCTGCCCCCTGATTTGGCTCTGCTGTGATTGGGTAGCCATTCCCTTCTCCAGGAGATCTTCCTGATCCAGGGATCAAACCCTAGTTCCCTGCATTACAGGCAGATTCTTTGCCATCTGAGCCACCAAGAAAGGCCATGGGCACCCCTGAGCCACTCTGAATGGTACAGCAGTTAGAAGTACATCCCAAGGGACCAGGCAGGCCATACAGATTCAGATAGAGTGAATTTATTGTGTCTAGCTTCCTGGTGGCTCCAGTGGTCATCTGCCTGCGATGCTGAAGACCTGGGTTAGATCCCTGGGTTGAGATGATCCCCTGGAGAAGGGAATGGCTACCCACTCCAGTAGTCTTGCCTGGAGAATTCCTTGGACTGTGTAGAGTCCCAGAGAGTCGGACACAACTTTCACTTTCACGGGGATGGGTGACGTTATTATTAATAACAGTAAAATCTGTGTCACCAAACTGAGGGGCTTCAGGGGAGAGGAAGGGTTCAAGGAGGAGTCGATGAGAGAGAAGAGGGAGGGGTTCAGAGTCAGTCAGTCAGTCAGTCGACAAACACGGAATCTCGGCTCCGTGCCCAGCACTCTTCTGGGCAGTGGACAATCAGGATGCTCGTTCAGCAGCCTGGGATCCCTGGGAGCCCAGGGTGTCCCCATTTGGGAGCATCGGAGTCGCCTTCAGGCCAGGGCTGAGGGGCCCCCAGGAGATGGAGCCTCGGGGTGCAGCCAGGCCCAGAGCTGAGGTGTGGTCCCCTTGGGCGGAGAGTGACTCAGGCCCCTCCCAACCTCCCCACCGCCTGGGTTTGGTTTGTTTAAGAACAAATTAGTCACGGAGCAGGCAGCTTTCCCGAAAATAAAATGAGAATCCCCAGGAAACAGGGAAAATTGAAGGCAGGCGGGTGAGTCAGCACGTGCTGGCCCCCGGGCTCCACTTTCCAAAAGGCTGGGCCCTCTTCCCCCTGCCCCGCTCCGGCCCCGCCCTGTCCCCGCTCCGGGGACACTGACTTTCACCTCCCCACGTTCTCTGCCCCCACGAGGCTCCCCTTTGTCTTTCTCCTTCCCCCTTACTTTCCTCCCCCCCACTGTCCTCTCCGGCGGGGCCCAGCCTCTCTCGGCCGAGGCTGTGGCCTCACGCATGCGCAGTCACTCATTGAGTTCCGCCCCTCCCTCCCGGGCCTGGGGTTTGCATCGTTCGTGCGTCCATGCGTTCCATCCGTGTTTACGGCGCACCTGCCAGGTCCGGGTGCTGCGGGCGGGAGGGAAGACGAGCCGAGAAAGAGAGGAAGCCTCCCCGGCGCCTGAGCTTTGTGGGGAAAGGAGACTCCTGATAGAAGACCTTCGAGGATGTTCCCAGTCTCCGCATCCTCCCACCTCCCCCGGCCCCTCCCGTCACTCCCTGCGCTGGGACACCCAGAGCTGGGCCCCCGGCAGATTGCCTGAGGACTTGATTCTGAGCTCTCTGTCCCTGCCTCCTTCCCAGGCAGAGCCCAGGGACATCAGAGCCCAGGGCAGAAGGGATGCCTGGGGAGGGCCAACCAAGTGGGCAGAAGAGCCAGGGGAAGCAGTCCTCACCCACTGTTTCTCCAGGTGCTGCCCAGGTCAGGGGTGCTGGGAAGCTGGGCTGTGTTTAGAATCTGAGGAAGAGGCTGATGGCCACCTCTTCTGTGTCTCCCCGTGCTCAGACTCCTATCGGAGGAGGAGGTCAGGCCTTGGCTCCGGGCAGGACTCTGGCATGCCCCCTCCAACCTCAGCCCCTGGGGACAGCAGGGAAGGTTCCAGGTTGCAGGCCTCTCAGGACAGTGCCAGCCTGCTGCAGCCTGGGGTCCGTCTGGCCAGAGCAGGTGAGCTGCCTCCATTAAGACAAGCCCCTGCAGGGCTAGGGGGTCTGTGGCTCCCCACATGGCCAGGGCCCTTCGGTTCAGTCTCCTCCCACCCCCAACCTTTCCTCCCAGATGGAATCTGTGCAGGACCCCTGGGGCCAAGTCTTCCCAGACCCCTCTAACTAACTAGCCAGCAGGGAGGCAGCCCCAGGCCCAGATCATCGGGCTGGGCTGGGGTCTCCTGGCTCTCTGGTCACCGTCCAATCTCTGTCTGCCGCTCTCTATGAATAATTTAGTTGTTCGAATTACAGTAAAGAGCTATTCAGCCTCCCTTCCCAAATCTGATACAAGGTGCCTTGGTTCCTTCCGAGGAAAGTTCCTTTCCCAATGAAACTGAACCTTGTGGGCAGAGATCTCTCCCTCCCCACAATCATTCACCAATATTGGACAGTGACAGAAGATAGATTTCCCCCCCCCAATCTCAGCTATAAAAAAAAAAAATGAATCGTAGCCTAAGACGCCAGTTCCTAGCAGCAGGAGAGTGCAACTGTCTGAGGGGCGAGGCGGGTGCACTCTGGGAGGAGACTTGGGGGCGCTAATGTTGACCCCAAGTCACAAGTGCAGGCCCCTGGAGGGGATAGGACATGCAAGGAGGAACACTGCAGGAGCCCGGGAGGAAGGAGCAGGGATGAAACCAACGGGTGGTGCAAGATTGCATGTGTGCACATGTGCACATGTGCGGGCATATGCATGAATGTGTGCAACATACATGCACGCCTGTTGTCCTTGTGTCTGTGCTTGTCATGTGCTCATGTGGGCACGTGTGCATTCCTGTGCACACATGTGTGCATTCCGTACACACTGTGTGTGCACCTGCGTGGGTGTGGGTGTGTTCTTGGAGTGTGTGGCTGGGACTGGATGGGCGCTAGGAGTGCTCGGATGACTCTCGAGCTGTGAGTGACTCTCAGTCTCTGGCAGGGGCAGGCATTTCCAGAGCCCGGAGAATTGGGTGAGGAATCCAGCAGCCCAGTCAGGTGATTTGCAGGCAGGCAGGGGAGGGGCTCTAGGAAGTTCAGAGAGAGGGAGGGAAGAGTGGGAAAGGCCATGGGTGGGGACCTTGGCTGGGAGATGCTGCTAAGAGTGAGGCAACATCTAGGGGCTTGAGGGTTCCGGGTTCCCCAGCCAAGAATGACGGGAGGTGGGGCTCCCCTGCCTGATGGAACCCACTGGGTGTGGGCCCAGGGGAGAGGGCTGGAACCCAGGCCTGGAGCCTCCACCCTGGGGATGGAGGCCTCTCAGAACCTGGTGGGTGGGCGGGGGGGGGGGTGGCTGCAGCCGCAGGGGCAGGGCAGGGGGGTGTGGAGGAGCTAGGAGGGCTGAGGTCGCAGGCTCCCACTTCTTGCAGCTGTGCCGAGGCTGCAGGAGGCGGGAACCTCTGAAGTCAGGCCAGGCGGCAGCAGGAATCCCCGCCTCCAGCCAGCTCTCCCCTGGTCCAACTGGAGGAATGGGCTCTCCTGCAGCCCTGTCACAGGAATGGACCTGCATCTCCCACGACTCACCCCCGCCCAGCCCCCTAGCCTGCAGCCTATATCTGATTTACCACCGCCTCCTACCTGGGCCAGCCCAGCGGGCGCCTTCCATGTCTGTCCTCGGAAACAGGGACACCCAGCACAAACAGCACCCATGAAAGCACCCAGAGGGTGAGGTGGAGACCCCTCCTCACTTCACTTCTTTCTCTCATCTGCACCCCTGCCTCTGAGACTGCCCTCCTCAACTCTGGGGAATCAGAAATGACTGAGGATCAGGCATTTCTAGAACCACTCAAACTGGTCCCAGATACTCCCAGGGGTGGCCTTGGAGGGGCTCGTCCTTAGGCAGCTGCCCAGGGGCCCCACCTCTGGGTGGGAACTCAGAGACAAATGCACAAAGGCAGCTTCTTGAAGAGGGCTTGTTTGCAGGTCTGTGTGGGGTGAGGGAGGAGAGGAAAATGACAACCCACATCAGTATTCTTGCCTGGAAGATCGCACGGACAGAGGAGCCTGGTGGGCTACAGTCCATGAGGTCACAAAGAGTCAGACACGACTGAGCGATTAACAGGCCACAGGCTGGTGGAGTGAGGAGAGAGCCCTGGACTCCATCTCTCCCACATACTCCAGTGAAGGGCTGGCCCCCTCCCTCCCACTGCCACGCAAAGGAGACACGCCCGCCACCCCCCACCCCCCAGGCTCATGGCTTGTACCACTTTTCCTGCCCAAGCCCAATCTTGCATCCTCCAGTTGCCTTGGGATGGGAGAGGGCACCACTCTCCCCCCAGCTAGATGCTTTGCTCCATAGATGCCCAGGGTCCCCTGAGAGTCCCCTCTGGTCCCAGCTTCCTGGGGAGCACCTTGAACATTGATTCCCTTCTGCCCGCATTTGAAGGCCATGTGACCTCAGCACCCCCTGGCCTGATGTGGGCCCACCCCAGGCCCCCGGGACAGTTCTCTCTTTGCTCTGTGACTGAG